GGCCAGCCTAGTTCAGTCAGGGCTACACAGAGAAACCCTGTCTTAAAAAAGAAAAGAAAAAAGAACCTTCACCCGCTGGATCCCGCCAGCTCCTTCATCTACCAGCTGCTTCGTCTACTTTTGCCATTTGGAGTCTTGGCTCTGCCACTACAGACTAGTTGTCATTGCTTGAGGACATCTTGTCTTTTCATGCCTCCATAGTCTTCCCTGGGCTTAGAATGTCTTTTTCTTCTTTATCTGGCAAATTTTGTGCATCTTTAAAGACCTAAGTGAAATATTCTCTCCTCTGTAAATCTTCCTTGACTCTCAAAGCAGAATAAAGAGCTCCATTATTGTATTTGTGTGCATTTTATATATACTTTTATTGTAATTATCATCTCATTAGATTGTGGTCATGGTTCTGTTTCCTTTCCACAGTTTTTAGCTCCTGAACCACAAGGTCTGGCTCGTCTGCTCTTATATCTCCAGCATCTAAGAATTCTTGGCACATGTGTACTTAAAAAAGAAAGAGAAAGAGACTGGGGAGGTGACTCCTCAGTTAGGAATTGCTTTTGCAGGTGACCCAGGTTTGGTTTCCAGCATGCACATGGCAGCCCACAACCATCTGTGACTTCAGTTCCAGGAAAATGACATCCTCTTCTAGGCTCCATGGGTATACTTCGTTGCACATGGTAGACTTACATGTATTCAGGCAAAAGAGTTACACACATAAAATAAAAGTAAATATTTTTCCTTAAAATAAAAAATACATCTTTAAGGCTGCATGGCGGTGGCACACACCTTTAATCCCAGCACTTGGGAGGCAGAGGCAGGCAGATCTCTGTGAGTTTGAGACCAGACTGGTCTACAGAGCGAGATCCAGGACAGGCACCAAAACTACACAGAGAAATCCTGTCTCGGAAAAAAAAAAAAGTACATCTTTAAAAAGAAAGACCTAGTACTTGGGAGGCAGAAGCAAAACGCTCCTGAGTTGAAAGCCAATCTGAGCTACACCGTGAGTTCCAAGACAGCCTCACCCACATAGGCAGACGCTGTCTCAAAAAAGAACAGGGCGTGGGGGAGAAGAAGGAAGAAGGAGAGGAAAAGAAGGAAGGAGGGAGGGAAGGAGGAAGGGAAGGAAGAAGGAAGGAATGTGGTTGCTTAATCTCAACGTGACTGCAAAGGTTTCTCCCAATGTGTTATTTAAAACATAGCAGCAGTGCTGGGACACACTACAGGATGGCTGGAACTTGAAAGCATGATGCTAACTGAAAGAGGCATGATTGTGTTTTATATCATCCCATTTATCTGAAGTACCTAGAACGGGCAAACCCACAGAGACAGAAAGTAGGTAAGAGGCTGCCTAGGGCTGAGGACCTCGGAAGAGAAAGGAAGCAATTGCTCATTGGTTCAAGTTTTCTTTGTGAGGTCACGACAATGTCCTAAATTGATTGTGATGTTGCTCGACTCTGTAAATATATTAAAAAACCATCCAGTTGGGTACTGTAAACGGATGAGTTGTATAGTACATGAACTCTATCTCAAGAGAGCTGGTATTTTAAACATTCGTCAGCAGCTCTTCACACTGCCTGATTCAAGGGAGAGCTCAGATGTTTCCTGCTAGGGAGGAAGGTGGATTCAACCAGAATGAGTGTGCAGAGGTGTGGCTGGCGAGGGGTGCTGGCTTGGGAAAGACACAGCATGTATGGGAATGAAGTTGAGTCCTGATCATTGAATTGGCCACAGAATATTTCAAAAGGAAGAATTCTGGTGAAAACGGAAACCACCTCAGTGAAACCAGATTTCAGCAGAAAAGGCTAAGGTTGCTTGATCAGGGTGAGGCTGTTCTTTAAAACAGTGGCTCAGAATCCTCTCCTTCCCTTGGGCCTGTGGACTCGGCAGCCAGCTGCCTGAGTTCTAAGCCTGACTCTGCATTTGCAGATGCGTTTGCCCTGTGCAGGCTTCTCAGTGTCTCTGTGCCTCTGCTTTTCCTACTGTAAAGGAGGGCTACAAATAGTACAGTACCCGCTTCCTGGACTGAGGGAGAGAACTGAATCAGAATCTAGAGCCCCAAACAGTTGTTGGGGAAGCAGCTGGATCTTCAGGACAAGACAGCTGAGGGGAGAGGTGGTGACTGAGAAACAGTCTGCCCTGTTAGGGGCCTCATTGCTCAATCTGCCAGTGGGGCTCATACTTCCTGTTTTCAGTGTCTGGAAGCCCTGATGCTGCTGGGGCTGCTCAAGTTTGAACAAGATCCTTCTTGGCCTCAGGGGAAGAAATGAAGCAGCTGAATGGCAACTTAGCCTGGGCTGGGCCCCTTAGCTTCTAATCAGGTCCTTTCTTTCCCAGCAAACCTCTGCTCCCAGGAAGGATTAAACCCTGAGATATTTACTTAGCTTTGTGAAAGCTGGTGGTTGGGTGCTTTACTTAGGTGCCCCCTCCCCCACACAGATTGTGTGTGCCTGTGTGTGTGTGTGTGTGTGTGTGTGTGTGTGTGTGTGTGTGTGTATTTGTACAGGCACAAATGTGCCACGGCACTGGACTGAAGTCAAGGGTCATTTCTCTCTTTTTACCACGTGGGTTCTGGGGCTCAAACTCAGGTTGTCAGGGTTAGCAGCAAGCCCCTTCCTCCGATGAGCTTTCTCACTGGCCCTGTTATCTCCTTTACTGTGGAGGAAACATGCGCAGAGGGACAGAGAGGCTAATGGTCTTTTCCAAACCACACAGCTAGTGTTAAAAGCCAGGATTCTAGTTCAGGCCACCTGATTGCAAAACCCATGCTGAACCACAGCTGTGCTGTGTGGAAAAATGTGCTTGGTTGTAGTATTAAAAGTTCAGAGGTCCGTAGAACACCCAGGAGACTTTGTATCCTCAAAACTCCACTCAGAAAACTGGCTGTTCATGCAGAGAACTCATTCATGGCCTTGAATTTCCTGGGCCCTTCATGGATTCTGACCAATGGTTGCCTCAGGTTCTTAGTCAGTGGTGCATATCAAAAACACCTCATGAGTTTTCCCAAGATCACAGACCTGGCACCAGCCCTGACCTGAATCATAGGTAGGGCATAGGTGTGTAGATATTTTTAAAAGTTTCTCAGGTGACTCTAATAAGAAACATTGCCAAAACTCACAAGCGTGACTTGGAAATTCCAATATTTTAGCATCTAATTATATCTTCCAGCCTGCCTTCTATGTATACCTCGGTTCTTCAGAATCTGGTGTTTGATTCCAATTATGTGGTCCCCCCCCCCACTAGGACATCATCCAGCTTTAATTCTGAGTTCCCTGATCTTCCACATAGCAATGAGTGGCATTAACGTGCAAGACACAACACCAGACCCACATGCAGATGATGGGAAATTTTATTTTTTTCCCTGAATGTCACCTACGGAGGGGGGTGCTATGGGCCAGCAGTTTCCACATGAGCAAATGTCACTGGCTAAGGTCAGCCCAAGGATTTGAGGGGGGAGCAGAGTAAAGAGAATGTGGCACAGCCAATCCTAAAGAGGATCACTGTGAGGGGGGCCTCACTGAGCAGGCCAACAATCTAATCTCGGGTACTCAGGAGGCCGAAGCAGGAGGATCACATGTCTGCCTGGGCTGCAGAGTGAGTTTAAGGGCTGCCTTGTAACTTAGTAAGACCTTACTTCACAGTAATAATAAAATAAAATAAGAAGGTAGCTAGGGCCTAAGATGTAGGATTTAATCTTCAGCACCAGAATTAAAGATAAATAAATAAAAATGAATAAATAAGAACATCTGTATACAGTTCTAAAAGAGGCACACTGCTGGACATGGTGGTGCATGCCTTTAATCTCTGGACTCAGTGGGTGGAGACAGGCCTGGTCTACATACTGAGTTCCAAGCCAGCCAGAGCTATGCAGTGAATCCCCATCCCAAAAATAAATAATAAATAAATAAATAAATAATAAAAGAGGCACACCGCACAACGGCTGAGGAAGCAATCGTGCGATGCAGCTCAGCCCACATGCCACTCACCAAGCCATAGCTTGTTCGTCACTTTGGGGGCTGTGACAGTCAGCCCGAGACCTCTCCCAACCTTGCCTTCCCAGGCCATTAAATGCAGATATGCTCCATCAACACGGAGAACTCAACACCAGCCCCCACACACCATGGAAAATTACGTTTGCTCTTTCTGGAATATCAGATTCACAATGGCTTGGTGTTTGGCTGTTTTCTTCTCGTTTGCTTGGTTTTTGGGTGTTTTTTTTTTTTCGAGACAGGGTTTCTCTATGTAGCCCTGGCTGTCCTGAACTCACTCTGTAGACCAGGCTGGCCTCAAACTCAAAATATCCACCTGCCTTTGAGTCCTAAGATTAAAGGTTTATCTTATTGTTGCTGTTATTGTTTTAAGTTAAACTGTACTCTGTAGCTAGGTTGTCTTCAAACTCACTTCAATCCTCCTGCCTCAGTCTCCCCCAGGCTGGGATACCAGGCATGAGACATTATACCCACTCACACTGATATTTTCATCTTGTTTTTTTTTGGTAAGATTTACTTTTAATTTTGTGTATGTGTCTATGGATGCTGGTGCTGACAGAGGCCAGAGGAATTACAAGTGGTTGTCAGACACCTGAAGTGGGGGCAGGGAAGCAAACTCCAGTTCTCCGCGGGAACAGATGCATAAATACTCTCAACCGCGTGGCCATATCTTCAGTACTCACACTGCTATTTTGTTTGCATCAGCTTTTTCTTTTCTTTCTTTGTGGATTTTTTTTTTCTTTTAGACAATGTCTTGCTGTGTAGCCTAGCTGACCTTGAAATCATTACGTAGCCCAGGCTGACCTTGAGTTCACATCAATCTCTATTACCTTTCAGGTTTACTGAAGGCATGGACTACCACACTGGCTTGGACCAACAGTTTTCCCTCATCCAAGCATTCTTGTCCAGAAGAGTCTAAGCATGTCCCAAATGATGCTAAGATGCACGTCACCTTCTTTATTCCTTCTTTTGCTGCCCCCCCCCACTTCCCTTATAAAGAACCACGGAGGAACCAGAATCTTCAGAAAAATCACATTTTATTGATCACCTTTATTCAGAATTATAAAAATAGATATAAATAAAATAGCAGAACATAATTATTAAATATTAAGTATATAAGAGTGGTCCTTACCCCACCCAGTGAGGATTGCATGACCAGGCTAATAAGTAAAAAAGATAACTGGCCAAGAAGTGGACATCTATGTAAAAAGTGAAACAGACATTTAGTGCTGGTCACGGGTCACGCCCGAGAATGATACATTCACGTGGAGCATCACATGGAAGACTGAGAGGTCCCAGCATCACAGTCCAGAGTTTAGGGAAATGCCTAGACTTGCGTTAGACACAGGAATACACCAGCTTTTGCTCAGGCTTACACTCACAGCCTGTGCACAGTGAACAAACATATACACATGTGTATTTGCTGATCCATTCGTGGAATGCTAGAGCCATTCCCTCACGCCATTAGTGTCTCCACTCCTCAGACCACTGTTCTCACACTGGACAAGCCCCCTCACAATACTTCAGCTGTTACGCTTCCTAATTGGGAAATCATTTCTTTCCCAACAGCAGACCTCATGAATGACCCGTTAGGGGAACCAACTCTCCTCCTACACTTGCACAGGAGACGTTTTTACAACTTTAGATGGGCTTTAGTCCAGAAAAAACACAACTCCTGATCAATATCATCCTGAGTCAGGATCAACTTTCCACCCTGGTCAGGGGGTCTGGGTGGCCAGCACCCAGGCCTGTGTCTGAGGGTAAAACTGTTGGCACTTACCCTGCTGGGCAGCACAAGCAAACAGTACGGAGTCTGTCCTTCTCAACTCTTCCCTACATTTGATAGAGAGGACCCTGCTGCAGAGGTGACGCGCAACATGGAAGGGAGTGGTCCATCTGTTTCTCTCCTCCGCTACCTGGTGGCCATCAGAAGGCTAGGCCATTCTCTTCTCCAATGTGGGCTTGGATCCAGTTCAGGAAGTAGGAGACCCTCGTGTAGACACCTGGCTTGTTTTTCATTGCACACCCACGGCCCCAGCTCACAATCCCACTCAGAGTTGGGCGGCCGTTGACGTTACAGACGAGAGGTCCTCCAGAGTCTCCCTGGGAAACCAAAGAAAAGAGGTGAGCTCTGGGAGACACGAGGAAAGGACCGCCACCATTCAGCCACGCCTGAGATAACAGGGAGAGGTCATTTGAATCAGAGACCTTGGCAACCCCTTGTTTTACAACCTATGGAGTTGCCAAGGTCACTGCCGGCCACTGTTCAGCCCCCTTTCCCAGACCCTGCCATTCCTCACCTTGGAACACCACATGCTCAGTCTCAGTTTTGTTCTTTCAACTGAAACATGCTTCTCTTTTCCCTCCGTCTCTTTTTTTGTTGTTGTTGTATGTTTTGTTTTGTTTTTGAGACAGGGTTTCTCTGTGTAGTTTTGGTACCTGTCCTGAATCTCGCTCTGTAGACCAGGCTGGCCTCAAACTCACAGAGACCCACCTGGTTCTGCCTCCCAAGTGCTGGGATTAAAGGCGTGTGCCACCACCACCCGGCTTCCTTCCATCTCTCTATTTACCACGTCATATTATCTTTAAGCCTTCTCCTCTCTTTCCTAATGCCTGATCTTTTGTAATTCCCAGTGAACAGATCCTGAACAATGAATTAGAGAATCATATTGATCTCACTTGTTCTTAGCCAAAGGCCCAGGAGTGATGTGAATAGTATTTATCTGTTTTGTTGGTGCTGTTTGTTTCTGTTTTGGAGACTGAGACAGGGTCTCATGATCCTATGTATTCCAGGCTGGCTTTGGACTCACTATGTAGCTGAAGAAGTGACTTGGGAACTTCTGATGCTGATCCCCTCAAGAGCTGATGCTGTAGGTGTGGGTCATTCCACCCAGTGCTGGGGATTGGATCCAGGGCTTCATTCATGCTGGGTAAGCATTCTACCAACTAAGCTATGCCTCCAGACTGTTGGTTTTTCTTATGGTCTCCATTTCCTGACTGGAGGATTGAACTCAGGACTTTGAGAATACTAAGCAAGCGCTGTACCACTGAGCAAGGCACTCATCCTTTTTTGTTGTCTTTTTTTTAAAATTTCTCTTTATTTTTACTACATATTTTTGCTATGTAGCACAGACCTTGAATTCTCACTATGTAGCGCCTAGGCTGGCCTTGAACTCATGATCCTTCCCTCTCAGCTTCCAAAGTGCTAGGAATGCTGAGGTTATAGGTGTGTTCCATCATGCTTGGCTTTTTTTTTTTAAATGGTCTTTGTCCTTTTAGTCTAAAGTGTGTAGCACAGGCTCACGCCAAATGTTTGAACCTGTAAGGATTGGCATAAGCTTCCAAAGATCTAAGTCCTTGATTCTTAGGATGCTGGCTGGAAAGAAACTCCACAAAGCTGTCAGATCAAATCCAAGAGCTGTGGGGAGCTTGGGGGTGATGAAAAGGGATGCTTGGGAGTCTTACCTGGCAGGTGTCTGTTTCCCACTGTGGGTCAGCAGCACACAGCATTTTATAAGTGATTTCAGAGCCATAGTAGTGGGGCTGCATACACTGTTCATGGGAAATAAGCTTCACAACAGACATTTTCAGGTTCTTTGGGTAGATATAGTCAGCTGGATAGAGGAAATAAATGTTTGCATTACGATGGGTCTATGAATGAGACTCTCTCCAAGGATGAGGATAAAAAATACATCCCATGTATGGAAACCCCTTATTTGTTTATTCCAATCTAGCCTTTACTCCACCCATAACTGTTCATCCTACTTGACTTGATTGCCCATTGCTTCCGACTCTATCCCTGGACCTACTGTGCTTCCATCCCTGTCTCCACAGTATTCCTGTGGTAGTCTGCTACATCTGCTTCTGGACCATAACACGCCCCCAGCTTCAACTGTCACTTACAGTCATGCTCGTTTCCAAAGCCAGTGATCTCACAGTCTGAACCAAACTGGGCATCACCAAGCCTTGGGGGCAGGCAAATGGTCTGTATGGACCTGGATGGCTGTGCACAGTGGCCTGTGCTGGTACGTATCTTCAGCAATGCTGGAGAAAAGAAAGGTCAAAGGGAAAAGATTATCACCTACCAAGTCATGTGGTCATCATCTCTCCCCTCCAAAAGCTACAGCACTGATCTATACTCAGGGCACTAGAGTCAGAGGGTATCCAAGAGCGGCTGCTGGTATCTTATCGCCCAGAAGCCTCCCCTGCCACATTCGCCAAATGCTTTATTTCAGCTGATGACGAATATTCAGGCAGCCAGAGCTACCACATACAGCTGAACAGGTTGTCTCCTGCTGAGGGAGCTGAGCTGAAATCCAGCCAAGGATTTCTATATTCTGATATAGACAGAAGCATCCACCCTCCTCCACACAAACAGGGCATTCCCAGCCTACACCATATGCCAACAGGGTTCTTTCCACTCAGAAGAGGCTACCTGTTGGGGAAACTCAAGGTCTCTACAGAGGAGCACTACACCCCTCAGTTGCTCGTGTATTTCACACTGAACTCTTGCCCACCCGTTGTCATCCAAAGCCGGAACTTCAAGTTCCCCCAACAATTTCTGTCGCTACTTTGGACTTTTGTTGGACCCCTCTTTTGCTGGCTATCACCTTTCTAGTAACGGAAGTTTCCTGCTCACCAATATCATTGTGGTGGGCCAGGCTGTCAGCACTGTAGCCCTCATGCAAGATGAGCTGCTCCACCTCAAACTTCATCTCTCCAGGCGTATAGGAGTTCCGCCTTGACTGGCCCAGGTAGACGACATAGTCTTCTTTCTTTGGGTTATTACTGTGAGAAACGAGACACGTCAGCATGCTCTCCTGAAGCCCTGTTACTTCCTCCTCTCCATCACAGAGACCTCAGAGTGCTATGTGTACCTAAGGCCACAAGCTGCATGAAGAGAGGCTTGGTGGGAGACTTCCACCAAGAGGGAGAAAGAGACATGTGTGGGATGCGAAGGAAGGGTCAGAAAGAAGGGACGAAGGGATGTACTTACATGAAGCAATGCGTGGCGCTGGCCACCCAGCAAGGCCTGATGAGGCTGCCACCACAAGTGAAGGTGGGAGGGCTTTCTCCCCGGTTCTTCCTGTAGATAGCTGCAAACCAGGGCTGGTTCTCAACAACAGTGAATTCTCCCCCAACGATCTTGAAGCGGGGCCTTAGGGCCTTCTGGCCACACTGGAACCCTTGTTGATCTGGAGAAGAAGGGGGCCTTTTGTCTAGAAAAGAAAGAGACACATGTTTTGGGGAGAAGCAAAGGGTGAAGACTCCCACTGAGGCGGACCTCACGTCTCATCCCTCCGGTAGTTTAAGAAGGGGCCCAGATGAGTTTGTCTCTTTCCACCCCATCGTCACATGAGCAGTCAGTGATACTCACTAACGGAGCAGTCAGGCACCATGCATTCGTGGACAAACTGCTTTAGGCCAATCTGTACATAGCACCAGGGTCGACTCTGGTTGTCAGGGTTCCTGGTAACATGAAGGGACAGGAATGTCATTCCAACCCCAAATGCCTTCTCTATATCCTCCCTTCCAAGGAATGCTCAACCAGATACCTGGATTCTTGTGCCATTATACCAGGGGCTGGTAGTATAGGTTTCTAAGAGGCCACAGGGTCTGGGGGAGCGTTTTGTTTAGTTTTGTTTTAATGTGCGTGGGTGTTTCCTGTATTTATGTCTGTGCATGCCTGGTGCCCATCAAGGCCAGAGGAGGGTATCAGATCCTCTGGAACTGGAGTTACAGACTGTTGTGAGCTGCCATGTGGATGCTGGGAATCGAACCTAGGTCCTCTGGAAGCCGTCTCTCCAGCCCCCACAGGAAGGACTCTTGGTATTAGTCTCCACCTACCTGCAGTAATTGTGTTTCCCCAGGCCTAGGTTGAGAGCGTCAGGTCTGTGGGCGTGGTAGGCTTTCTGAAGGACAGTAGGGGAGTTCCAGGCCAGACAGGGCCGGCCTTTGGTGTCACTGTTGGCCTTGCCCCGGTAAGACTGACCATTTCCATGATAGCAGGCTTTTGACGTATCTATAAATGATTTGAGGATTACAGACTATTAGAAAAAGGAGGAAGTTTGGACAGGTATTTCAGAGGTCACATGGTTTCAGACCCGGCAGGTAGTACGAGGAAGAACCTCCTTCCCATTTGTGTAGCCATTGCTTTATGCGACTCCATGGTCCTAACTCCTAACTTCGGCCTGTTTGTTGTTGCTGTTGTTGTTTATTTTATGTGCATAGGTGTCTTTCCTACGTGCGTATCTGTGCACCCCATGCATAACCGGAAGAGGCCAGAAGAGGGCATGGGGTCCCTGGGACTGGAGTTGCAGGTGGTTGTGACCCACCACGTAGGTGTTAAAAATTGAACTACAGGCCATCTGGGAGAGCAGCCAGTGTTCTTAATCATGGGGCCACCTCTCTAGCTGCGCCTCACCCACTTTTTGAGAAACGGTCTTACCTTGTAGCCCAGGCTAGGCCTACTCTTACGATCCTGCTTCTGTCTCCCAAGTGCTGGGCTTACAGACCTACACCACCAGGCCCAGCTTCTGCCTGCTTCTGCATCCCACCCATCTTTCCCTGTTCTGAACTCTCCGGGCCTCCCCTCCTTCCCAGTGAAGGGTCCAAATTCCCATACCTATCTCACAGTGCTCCCCTTGGAATTTCTTCGGGCAGCTGCATCGGCGAATGTTGGAGAAATACTTGTAGGACACACATACTCCTCCATTCTGACAGCCACAGTTTGCTAGCAAATGCAAAAGTGGGGTAGACAAGGGTCAAGGGGGAGCCAGCCTCCCAGCAGGGACAGGGAGGGTTTACCTCCTATGGTTTTCCAAGATGTCTGTGAAGTCAACTATTGTGCAAGGCGGGAGATACTCACATTCATCAGAAGCTCCAACTGCATGGCGACCCTGCAAGAGATGAAGGTGGGGGGTCACCAGAGGTGACATGCTCTAGGGATGAGCAGGCCCCAACTCAAAATCTATTCTCCCCTCCAGTGGTATTCATTCTCTCTCTCTCTCTCTCTCTCTCTCTCTCTCTCTCTCTCTCTCTCCCTCTCCCTCTCCCTACCCCACCCCTGTCTCTCTCTCCCCTTTCTGTTTATTTCTGGCCAGTTCTCCAAATGAAGGCCCTGGGTTTCCAGCATCCAGACACGGACTGCCTCAAGCAAACCTCACACATACCAGGTGCCCTTGGGCTAAGGTAGTCCCAGGGACTTCTTCCTCCTTTGCCATATAGTGCAAACCTCTTTGGCGCTCAAGTCCTCCGCTGACACCTTGTCCTGTTTCCCTGGAGTCTGGACCTGCTATTGACGCCTATGGACTCCAGCTCCCTGTCTAGGCCCTCTTTTCCCCCCGATGCTGCTTAGGGGTCCCGCAAGCCCCTTCCTGAGAAAACCACTCACTTCAGAGTCGTTCACCACCAAGGCGCAGAGGAGCAGGCATGCCAGCCAGACTTTCATGGTAGCGAGGCTGGGCTCTAGACAGCAAGCAGTTCTGCAAAGGAAGGAGAAGTCAGGGCAAGAAGCGGAGCAGCTTGAAGGTGGCAGTGTTACTGCAGTTCAAGGGAAGAAGCTCCAGGTCCCATGCGGGGCAAGCCAGTAGTGACCAAGCAACCCAGGCTCCGCAGTCTCTCCCCTCTGCGGGCTCTGGACCCGCACGCACAGCAGCATGGACCCACACGGTAGAGGCACGCAAGGGGCTGGAGTGGTGACCTGGCTCACAGTCAGGCCGGCTAAGGTAGGGGGAAGGGAGGTGTGCGGGAGCCCTGGCTGCCTCATCCCGCCAGGCTTGCTTCAGACCAACAGCACTCACCGGTGACTGCAACGGAAGGAAGGGCGCCGGCAGACAGGCAAGGACAGGATTGATGACTGACCCAGCGCTCTGACGCTCCAGTCTCAGCTCCGCGCGGCTTGCCCTTTATTAGGGCCCGCCCGAGCTCTGGCCCCGCCCATCTCGATGGAGGGCGGTACGCCCTCCCTTTTCCTTTCCCTACATCCTCCCGCCACTGGACCGCGCTTGCTTCCCCGACTTTGTAGGGGGTCACAGGATCCCCAGAGGCGCGAACTAAGGCAGTCTGGACCGAGGGATCCAAAAGGCATGTACATTCTTCCCTTCTTTCGTTGACCTAGCGTGGCCCCAGTGCAGCGTGGAGAGGGCGCTCCAGACGCCAGCTCTCGGATCTCAATCCTCTTCCCTAGTGGCTTAATCAGTTCTTCTCCCACCTGTCCATCTTTGACTCTTACCTGCCTAGGACACTTATTCAGATGTCTCATGGAGGGGTATAACTTGCAGTTCTTCTTTTTGCAGGAAAAACAAAGGCTCCCATATGTCAAATCCTGGGTCCCCAAAGGTTGCTAACACAACCAGTGAATCAGAAGACAAAACGGCTTTGTAATCATAAGGGAGTTTAATAGTGTCATCAGCAGGGGAAAGGCAAGGTCAGATTTTATTCAGATTTCTTCTTCCTTTAAGGCCAGTCTTTGAAAGATGGTTTTAGAAATCACAATGGCGCAAGCCTTTAATCCAAACACTAGGGAGGTAGAGGCAGGCAGATCTCTGTGAGTTCGAGGCCAGCCTGGTCTAGAGTTCCAGGGCAGCCAGAGCTGCACAGAGAAACCCTGTCTCTGAAAACAAAAAATCAAAAACAAAAACAAACCTGATAATGAACAATCCATTTATTTGTGTGGGAAAGAATACAGTCAATATAGACTGTAGAACAGGACTGAGTGTGTATCTCAGTGGTACTGTGTTTACCCCCTCAACCACGAAAACAAATAAACAATCACGGGATGTGTGGGGGGTTGGGGACACGACTCTTACTAATGTGAACAGTAAACTGTAAACGTATAGAAAAAGCAGCGGGGTAGTCAGCCCTTGTTAATGTGGGCCATAAACTGTGGAACAGTGGGAGTGTCCGCTCTCCCCTTGTAGTGGAGGAGCTGTGGGTCGGGAGGACAAGATAAAAGGAATGCTTATTTTTCACTCAATGCTATTTCTTTCACACTGTTTTTAAAACTTTAAACATATCCCTGTATCAGCCATTCCAAAAAGATAATTGCACATTTTAAATGCATTTGTATTCAGCATTCTGTGTTAGCATAGGACATTATTATATGAAGATAAAAACCATTGTTGATCAAATAAGATAGGCTTCCAGAAAGACAGGTCATGTGTAAATGACTCCTGCATCTTGAGGACAAAGCGCATACACGCATGCTCGCACGCACGTACGCACACACGCTCGCGCATGCGCACACATCCCTCAGGCACAGTTGGAAGTGCACAGGAAGGATTCCAAGGTTCAGTCACCTTCACTTCTGCCCTGGTGTCAGAGACAAGGACTTGTGGCCATTGTGATGCTCCTTTTGTGGAAGAGAGGGAGCAAGTCCTCATAATTCATAAGGGCCCACGCCTTGCTTTATTTCCCTGAGCCTAAGCCTGTTGGGTTTTACTACCTTGCACACGGAACCTTGGGAAAGAGCACCAGGAGTTGGAAGGGGGAGGATGCTTTACTCCACCGGAGTCAGAGGTCCCAGAACGCCAGCCACTGGATGGGAAAGCACACATTAACTATTCAGCTTTGGTTAGGCAGGTGACCATCCTTCTTCAAAATCTGTTTTCCTAGGCAGCCGAGCTGCCAGCAGCCCATAGGACCACTGAGTCAGAGATTCCATAGGCTCCAAAAGGTAACTTGCTACTTCCTTTAGAAGACTGTGGTCAGTTTTGTTTAGATTTCAGAAGCCATTAATTGTAAATAAGCATGTTCAAAATGTAAACAGAGATGTTACAGCCTTGAGGACTTACCCCGAAACTCTAGTTTTATACTAGGAAATTCCCAGCAGGCTGCTGTGATTCACGTTGCTCCCCCAAGAGCTCTCATGACTCCGAATTACTTGGCTGGAAGCTGTCATGCTGATTCTTTGAGAGCAAGGTGACCTCATTTCCTCTTGGACAAACAGAGACCGTTATGAGGTGGGACAGGCCCTTGCTCCTTCCTCTGCCACATCCTCACCTGGGCAAACAACCCCAGCGCCTCCGACTCTTCAACGCTTCGTAGAACTGCCGTCCTCCGGCTCAGCTTCAGACTCTGACATCTCTGATTACTTTTGGTGCAGTCTGTGCTCGACTTTCAGTTCTTTGGGGGCAAAGAACACATTTTATGTGTCCACCTCTCTCTCATCATTTGCTACATGTCTTAACCACAGAGGTGCTTTCTTGTGAATGCAGAACAGAGGATAGGAACAGAGAGCTTTGGGGTGTCCTGAAAGTTCGGTGTCTCTCTCTGCATGTATTACACTACACATTCATGACTAACTCCAAGACACCAATAAAGCACAGGCGTTTCGTTAAGGAAAGAGATTAAAGCTCTTCCTCTTACAGTCTTTTAACCAAGAGTGAGTCCAGACTTGAGTTCTCTACTTCATGATCTCTCTGTCTTGTGCCTTGTCTGTTGCGTGAGTCTGAATCTGTGCCTGCCTGAAGGCTGTCTTGTGAATTTGTTTGTCCCCAGATCTGTGTGTGTCTATCCTTATGTGTGTCTGTCTGTCGTGTGAGCTGTGTGTGTGACCGGTGGGAGTGGTGTCTGTCTGTTCTGGGTGTACTGTATGTGTCTCTCTGTGTGAGTGGTGCTCGTGTGTCTCTAACAAAGGGCTTTGCTTTGTATTTATTGAACAGCATAGAAAGCATTACATGGGGGGAGAAATGGGATCATTTACAGAAATCTTTAACACAGTTTTACAAGGGATTAATACACCAGCTCCAACTGATCCCAACAAACATCATTGTTTTTCAATCAATATCCATAAATAGTTGCTCTCAACCTTTATGGTAGATTTTTAGGAAGTTGCTTTCAATTTTTTTTTTTTTTTTTTTTTTTTTTTTTTTTGGTTTTTTTGAGACAGGGTTTCTCTGTGTAGCTTTGCGCCTTTCCTGGAACTCGCTTTGGAGACCAGGCTGGCCTCGAACTCACAGAGATCCTCCTGGCTCTGCCTCCCGAGTGCTGGGATTAAAGGCGTGCGCCACCACCGCCCGGCTCAATTTTAATATTTGCTGCTTTCAAGAAATGATTCATATGCATTATCTGGGTCAGGGCATGGAAGAGTATATAACTAAGTTCACGGCTGTGAATTAGGTTGTAAAAGTTAGCTGCGTGGGAAATAAATTTGATTGTTATATTGTTCTCTCTCTCTCTGTGTCTGTCTCTCTCTCTCTCTCTCCAGAGTAAATAGTATAGGCTTACATCCTTTTTTGTCTAGTAGTTCTGTCTTGTGCTTAAAGACATTTTCAGATAAATCATTCTCCATCCGGATCAGAACTGCCCCGTGACAAACACTGGAATTGTTATTCTCATTCTGCAGATAAGGAAAATATGGCAAAAAGATGACACATAGTTGATGGGCGACGAGGGCAGTACTAGGATCCAGGTACTCTCTCCCATGCTTCTGTGCTGTGTGTCCCCCTGTCCAGAAAGAGGCAGGATTCTGTGAAGAGAAGAGCCAGGTAATTAAAATGTTCAGGTAGGTGGTATGAAACATTCCAGCTCAGGTGTTTGCCTCAAGCCTTTCCATCTATTCTGGAGACCTCCTTCCAGAAACACTATTTTTTATTTTTATTTTTTATTAGGATGCCCAAACTATAATGCAAATTACTTGCTAGTCTGAATTCCAGGAACTTCCTTTGTGGTCTAAACTGAAGTTTCTGTTGGGAATGAGAAATAAGGAAGTAAATGCATATGGTTTCATTATTTTCTTGATTCCAAGAGGGAAGTCTCCAACACTGGCCTTTGTATCTCAGTAGTCTAGACCTCCTGAATCAGATGAGGCAACACAGACTAATGGAGGAGCTCTTCTGTAGCCCTGGTTTTAAAAGGGTGGGCAGATGCAGGTTACAGGTGTACACTGAGCAGAGTGTCTAAACCTAGCCTGGCTTCTCACAGCCAGGGAAATGAGCCCTGAAAGCTTTTGTTTGGGTTTGGGTTTTTTGTTTGTTGTGCGTTTTTTGGTCTGTTTGGGTTTTGTTGTTGTTATTGTTTTGTTTTTTTGTGACAGGTTCTCTTTACGTAGCCCTCGATGTCCTGGAACTTACTATGTAGACCAGAGTGGCCTTGGACTCAGAGATCTGATTAAAGGCCTGTGTGAAAGGTCTGATAAGCGGGGCTGGTGGCAGTGCTGGTTACCGGCCGAAAGGTCACGGTCACGACAGAACCCAGTATTGGTTTTAGAACTTTATTAGGAGGAAGAGGGGTGGGGAAGGACCAGGCCTGGGAAAGAGCACATGCAGAGGGCAGAGAGAGAAAGGTGGGGGGTGGGACAGAGCAGAGAGAGAGGGTGCGGTCTGCATCTGGCTTTTTAAGGGCTCCCTGGACGGAGTTGCCAGTGTACACTGATGACCTAAGATGCAAGACCTTTTGCTTAACTCCTGAACTGCGCGTGTGCAGTCATGTAGCTGGAGTGAGGGCAGAATTCTAACATTGTGCCCAACCGTCTGTCCAACAGTTGGTGTAGGATTTTTTTTTTTTTTTTTTTTTTTTGGTTTTTTGAGACAGGGTTTCTCTGTGTAGCTTTGCGCCTTTCCTGGGACTCACTTGGTAGCCCAGGCTGGCCTCGAACTCACAGAGATCTGCCTGGCTCTGCCTCCCGAGTGCTGGGATTAAAGGCGTGCGCCACCACCACCCGGCATGGTGTAGGATTTTGAGACAGGGTCTTAGGTTCCTCAAACTCACTCTGGTCTGCACTTCCAAGTGCTGGGATTTGCAAGCCTGTCCTACCACGCCCAGCCCTGAAAGGCTATTTTCTGACTAGCTGGGTCCAGAAGGAAGTTCATATTGAGTCATGGGATATATTCCTGGGTTGCTATACTAAGAACATTCAGCATGGCACTGCAGTGGGATGATCTTTACACAAGTCCCTTAACTCTCTGGATTTCAGTTCTCCCATCTGCGAAATGAACAGCATTGGTCCCACCTGCACTGATTCT